GTAGTTTAGTTTTATTTATAATAATACTACTTGTAATATTTATTGTTAATGTTCAGGATCGTTTTTCTCGATATTATGAAAATATATTTTATATAATACTCTGAAAATGTTTTCTGTCCTTCAAAAGGATGTACATAATAAATTACTTTTTCTTTTTGTATTATGCGTCTTTTGGATTATAAGGTTATAGTAGGAAAAGACAACACGAACGAAGTCGTGTTCTTGTCCTCACTAAATATTAAACAAAGTGAGCGATACATAAAAGTCCAATGTCTTTTAGATAATTCTTTATTATCGAAATGGATGTTACTTTTGTAACAAAATAATAAATGATATTGTTTTTAAAAATCTAAGATAAACCATTGAAAATTAAATACTATCAAATAATTACTATTCCTGCCGATCTGCATGTAACTGAGTGGCTCCTAATCGAGACGGATCCTGACTAGGATAATGTACAGTAGGTTTTGCAGTGGGTGCGACTGTACTACTACCTGCGTCATTACTCGTCACGCTACTACTCGCTGCTACGTTGACTGCTGCACCTGTAGTAGGATTAAATGGAGGCAATTGAGGAGGAGTAAAGAAGAAGGGTGGCATTGGCGGAGGAGGACCAAACATAGGCGGAACCATCAACGAAGGTGGAGGAGGCATGTTGGGCAAAGGAATATGACCTGGTTCCAAATTAAAGAAGTTGTTGCTAAGTTCTGGTAAAGCTCCAGGTAAACCAGGGACTGGTTCAAATGTTTCCAAGTTTTGATTAACGACCTGGAGTCCTTGTCTGCCTTGAGATCGACCCCATTTTATAGTCAACCGACGACCGCCAAGAATGAGTTTATTAAAAGTTTTATCTGCTGCATGTTCTGCTGCAGCTCTTGTTGTATATTGTACAAATGCACATTGCTGCTTAGGCACCATACTTATTGATCTTATTTCTCCATACTGGTAGAAATGATCTCTGATGTCACTTTCATTTAAGTTGCCTAAATTTCCTATATACAAAGTAGTAATACTTTTATCTTCAGGAGGTGGTAAAGAAGGCATGGCAGCAGCTCTTTTGAGCAATTTATCAGCTACGGGATCGTTTACACCATAATAACGATCTTTAATATTTTGATCAGCCAGGGGGTCATCTGGATCTGTGGGCTTTTCATGCCTATAGGGACATTCTTCTCCTCTTCTGCATTCTCCTTTCACCCAAAAGGAACAAACATGAGGACGATTTCTTTTATAATATGGAGCTGTACGTGCTAAACGCATTAACAGGTCATTTTGTTCATGTGCTTTAGAATTAATAGCAGTTCCTGAGTCAGATTTTGTTAACTAAAGATAGTAAAACAGTTATATATGGAATTAAATACAAGAATATGAAGTATTACCTCCCTCTCCATATTTTGTATGTAATATTCTTTATTTACATCACTCTTTGGAACATCATCCTTAATTTTTAATGCAGAATCTCGAACCTAATAAAAATTTTTATGAATTTGCAACCTAAAATACCAACATCAATATCCAACTTACCTGAATAGGAAGTCCATATTCTAAATCTAAAAGACATGTTTGACATACATTCTTAAGTTTGCTACATGTCTGACAAATTTCTGTTTTCTTAAACCTCATTCGGGCACCAGGACACCATCTAAATACAGTAAATGGTCTGGCACATATTTTACATTCTTTGCCGTATTTCTCCTTGGTCTATAAAAATAATTTTTTGTTTTGTTAAAAAAATACAGATTTATTTTATTATTGGTTGTTCATTTTGCTTACCATGCGTATGTATGGATTATCACCTAAACATGTTTGACATAAAATAGGAAAATCCTGCAATCATTAAAATATGTTTTATATATAAACTATTGGAAAAATATAAAAATACTTACTAAGTCCTCCCAATTTTGTCGATTATAAGTATTTGTAGTTTTTGAAAGGGCCATATTTTCCAGTAGTTTATTTTGCCAGTTAAAATTTGTAAGCAAATGGACCTTACCTCTGCAATACACGTAATATATAAAATATTTTATCAATCTAAATTTCAATAAAATATAATCACTTACCAGATTAAACAGAAACGAAAACAAAAATTCTTAGCAAAATTACTTGAAAGTATATATATGTCTGACTCTTTTAACTGCTTTTAACCTAACTTTCTATCATCTTTCTATTTTTTATTCATTCCATAGATTAATTCATTCACCTATCTTCCAGTCGCAATAACCGCCAAACGGATGAAAGAAAGAGTACAAAANGGGAAGTTAAGCTATATTAACAACTATTAAATGTCAAAGTGTTTCATATATATGTTTCTTATTACATTAAAACAATCTTATTAATTTAAGTCACACTTCTAAAAATTGCCCTATTTTTGTTTGAAACCTTTTAACATATCTAAATCAATTCAATTAAAACTTCAGGTACATTCGACTAAATGGAAATCTTTTACAAATGAATGGTCAAGAACTTCCACATCTAATACCAATTATGTATAAGGTTGAACCATATTTATCAGTTCCGCCTTTGTCGTCAGTATTTTGGATTATATCGAATCCCGTGTTTAAGTATTGCATGTAGTATTTTTATAATTTTGTATGATTACTTTTTAATAAACTTTGAAATTATTTTTTATTGTTTTTTTATTTTCTCCAAAGGATGGAACATCGGCCAAGATTCTAAGATATAGTCTACGAATTTACACTTATTTTTAGCATTCCGTAAAATAATTCGAAGTGGTTTGTATTCTGTCGAAGCTGCCAGACGCGGATCGCGATTTCGATCTTTTTGGATCTCATCAGCGCGTTACAGACAGCTCCAACAGAACAGACCAACTTTTACCTGCTGTCTTAACAGCGCGTTTTAGAAAATACCACAAATGGCGCGGTAAACGCCATCTGTAGTACGATGCTACATTTTAGGATTACGTATGCTCCAACAAGGTCCATTTAAATATATGGATATCTACTTGCTG